ATCCTGCCCACCCGCCTCCCACCCCTCGGATTCCCCCTCCCCTAGGCATGCCTGTCTTTCCAAAGAACTACGAGACCCCCCTGGTAGTCCCAAAGAATGAGAACTGATTTACACGCAGACCTTTTTTTGGTAAAGGGCCTTTTATGAGGGGCCCTGCCAAGAGAGAGAAAATAAATCCCACGCACCACGCCATGGCGCACCAGGGAGAGCCCCTTCCATCCTCAGGAAATGGAGGGACGCAGGTGATGTGGGTGGGTTGGGGCGGGGGGGGGGCGCGTCTCTGCGTGGAGCTCTGTGCTGGGGACTGGCCTGGGAGCCCCCTTCCCCGCATTCTCCTCAAAGGGCTGGGAGAGGCATGCGCCTGGGAGCCTCCTGGGTCTGCAGATCAGCGCAACCCTGAAGGGTCGTGCATATTTAATAATACTGAGTATCACTTTCAGAGCAGAGCACTTACCCCGAGGCCGGGCAGTGTTCTAATAAGTGCTTTATGCAAGGCACATCTGTGCTCACAACAAAGCTGTGAAGCAGGACTATGATGCCCATTTTTCAGACAAGGAGACTGAGGCCTAGAGAGGGTAAGTCACTTGCGGGAAGAGCCTGCAGCAGAAAATGGCAGGACCGGGGCTGAACCCCAGGCAGTCCGGCTCCAGATTCCGTGCTGTGTAACCCCGCTCCACACTTCTCACCTCAAAGATGGTGAGAAGTAGCCACCAGGCTGTCAACACCATCACTGGTGAGGCTCCCAAGTCTAACGCCCTGGCCAGCTGCCAGGTCCCTGGGGGAGGGCTTCAGACACCCAGTTGGGCCCTAAGTGAATACTCTTCACTTCCCCATCTTACAGGTGGGGAAACAGGTTCAGAAACGGGGGTATGTCCCAGGTCGCTTCGCAAGGAAATGACAGAGTGGGGACCTGCCCCCAGCTGCCTGTCTCCTTTGCCAAGAAAGGTTTCGGGGGGCCGGTGGGGGGGAACCAGGACAGCAGGAGGCAACAAGGGCCTGGGGCAGGTGAGACGCTGGCCTTGCCCTTGGAAAAGGTCCCTTGGCTTCATGCTTGGGGTTCAGATTATCCTGTGATCGTGAGCGCTTCGCACGCCTGATCTCAGCGAGCCCTCCAATCGCGGCTACAAGGCTGGTTACCCTAGAGATGCGGAACAGAGCGGGAGCCTGAGGCTCAGAGGGGTTGGCCGCTCGGGGGGCTCCCTCCTCCTCATCACTCAGGTCCCTGCTCTTGCGGCCTGTCCTCGGCAGCGACCTCCCTGGCCTCCTGAGCGCTCCTAGCTCGTGGGCCACCTCGAGAGGACCGAGCGTTCCTGCTCGCACCACCGGAACCCCATCACGAGGAAACGCCGCTCACCCCAAACTGAGGGAGGGCCCTGCGGCACAACTTGCCCGAGTACCACAAAGCCCCACAAAGCCACGGCACGAAAGACAGAGGAACTGCTCGAGATGAAAGGAGGCTTTTAAGACACCGGTCAACTGCGGGCAACTCGGAAGCCTGAATAAACACTGGAGCGGGAGAGCAAGAGCTACAGGGACAGTCTCAGGACAGCTGGGGACATCGGAGCGTGGCCAGGACTGCACCACCATGGTTCTCCCCGAGCGTGGCCGCAGACAGGAAAATAACCCCGTCTCAGGAGGTACCTGCTGTGTGTCCCCTTCAGGGACAGAGGGACGTGGTGCTGCAACTAACCCCCAAACATTCCATCAGGAACGATGCGCCCGGACAGACCGACGGGGCCAACGCGGCCCCACGCTCGCGACCGGAGCGCCTTCCGGAAGGTAGTTCTCCGTCCCCACCCCCACCCCCCAGCACTGGCCAGATTCTGACATGATGTACGTTTTGCTTATTTATTTTGTTTTCAAGGACCAGGCCAGTCCCCAGTCGCCAGCACAGAGCTCCACGCAGAGACTCCCCCCGCCCCCCCAACCCACCCACATCACCTGCTCTGCTCTTTCCCGTGAGGGCAGGGATTTTTCCGCTTGGAGTGCCCGGTTCAAAGGTTGTGAGTGCGCTCACCGAGTTATGTGGCCATCACCGGGCAGTTCTAGAACGTTTCCATCCCCCCAGAGAAAGCCCGTTCTCCAACTCCCCCAGCCTGGGGCAACCGCTCATTCGCTTCCTGTCTCTGGATTTGCTCGTTCTGGACGTTTCGTAGAAACGGCATCACACCACAGGTAGCCTTTGATTGGCTTTTCCCACTTAGCGGGCTCTCAAGGGCCAGCACGTGGGAGGGCAGGGATTTTTGTCTCTTTTGTTCACACCGTATCTGTAAAACCTAAATCAGAACCTGACCCGGCCAGCCCCGCCACCCCGCTGGCCCTCTACGGAGCAGGTGTGGGGGGAGGGGCTGCGGGCCCAACTGTAGGGGGCCGGGGAGACCCTCCCGGGAGATGAAGACCTCCACTGCTGGCCCCGCCCAGCACCTTGAGGTTGTGCCCATCGAAGGGCAGGGAGCCACTGACGAGGGTGTACAGGATGACGCCGAGGCTCCAGATGTCCACCTCTGGCCCGTCGTACTTCTTGCCCTGGAACAGCTCCGGCGCGGCGTACGGGGGGCTCCCACAGAACGTGTCCAACTTTGAGCCCAGCGTAAACTCGTTGCTGAAGCCAAAGTCAGCGATCTTGATGTTGGCCTCGGCATCCAGCAAGAGGTTCTCAGCCTGGGAGGGGGTAGAAGGTAGACGTGTGTGGTGGACAGGAGCATGAGCTCCGGAGCCGCCCCCCCCAACCCAGTACTGACTGTGACCCGGTCCCCTACTCCCCGTGTGACCTTGGGCAGTGACTTTATCTGTCTGGGCCTCGGGTTCCTCATCCAAAGAAGGAGGATAATCATAGCTTCTGCCTCGCAGGGCTGTCTGAGCATTAAGTGAATCCTAAAAGGCCTAGAACAATCTTTTGTACCCGATAAGCACTATAAAACATTAGCCATTATTATGCCATGTGGTCTGCAGAGCTGGGGGTCCTCAGGCAATCTCCTGCCCCTTTCTGAGCCTCAGTCTACCCAGCAGGAAAAAAAAACCCGACATGAGCACTGACTGCTCAAGACTCATAAAAATGAAAAAAAAAAATCAAGGTTCTGTCTACCTTTGGTGGCACGCATTCTTATAAATGCCATTTCACGAGCAAGGAAACAGAGCCTTAGGGAGACCACCTCGTGCCCACAGCAAGACTCCAAAAGAGGCCTGGCCTCGCCATGGCTTGAGTGTGGAAGGAGCCTCCAGCTTCCTGCCTCTTGTAGATTTGGATACATATAGCCCTTCAAAGTGTTGCCCACGTCTGGCTGGTCCCAGCCACGGTCCTTCCCCGGCCAGGCCACCTGCACGTCCGGCTTCCTCATGGTCTCCCTACCTCCCTTCCCCACCTCCAACCCAAAAAGAGGGGCAGAGAACCCATAAAGACACACCTCAACGTAATGGCATCTCAACCTTGCTCAGGGGTGACACTTCCCTTCCTAGCGTTTGAAGCTCTGTCACCCAGCCACAACCCCGTGCCTGGGTGGCTCCCTCAGGTCAGGTTGGCCCCCACCCCCACCCGGGGTGCACTAATCAGATCCCCCAAATCCCTTTCAGCCACTTCCAGGACCCTCCACCAGGGGGCGTGCCTCCTCCAGGTGACGGCAAACTCCCAAGCCTCAAGGGGTTTTCTCAGAGGGTCGGTACAGACACGGAGTGTGTCTAGAAACTTCTAGAGCAATTTGACAGTCGGTTTTTCTGATTTGGTTTTTTGTTTGTTTTTTTTTTAATGTAATAATAGTTTTAAAAAATTGGTCTTGTATTTTGGACATCTTCCCCCCCCCCCCACTTTATTTTTATTGTACTTCACAAAAGTATTTGTCAGGGCGGACTGGGAATTGAAAATATTAGAACAAACCCAGTCCTTCACTACTGATACCTTGAGAAGACCTTCCTTAAGGCACGGCGTCTAGCACACAGGAGGTGTTCCAGAAACGAGAGTCAAGACAACTCGACTGAGCAGGACAAACATTTCTCTCTCCGGTCTGGGTCGAGAAGCCCTGAGACATGTGGCTCTCAGGGTGGGAGGTGCAGAGCGGGGTGGGGGGTGGGGGGTCCGGGCTGGCTGAGTCCCTTCCTTGCTCGGAGTAGCCTCAGGAGCTCGCTCTCTCTCTCTCTCTCTCTCTCTCAAAGGTCCTTCTCGAGCTCGGAGATGCCTGCGATTCTAAGGCCCAGAAGCCATGTGACTCTGGGGCTCTAGAACCTCAGTTCTCGAAGGTTCCTGAGTGTCCTAAAGTCTGAGAGATGCCAAGGCTCCAAAGGCTCTGAGAGCGGTGAGCCCTTTATCGAGTCCTTGTTCAGCACACACGTAATCGTGTGCAATGTCCTCGGACATTTCGTTTCCTTTCCTTTGTTCTCTCCTCCTGCCCCCTCCTCCCTACCTGCTCCCCCATCTGCTGGCCTTCCTCTGCCGCAGAAGCTCGGGAAAGAGTCAAGGGGCCCCGGATGCTGAGGGAGGAGGACGGGGAGAAGAGCGAGGGAGTGCGGAGGCTACAGGGGATCCCCAGGGGGCCTGGAGGCGGGACTGGGGACAAGTGCGGGCTGCGGTGGGGGGGCTGCCGTGGGGCGGGGGGCTCACCTTCAGGTCCCTGTGTACAATGTTTTTCTGGTGACAATAGTGCACTGCTGACACAATCTGGAGCGGAGGGAAGAGAAGGTCAGCGACCTGTGGCCCCAAATCCCTCGGCCTCTCCCCGGTCCCACGACCCCACTCACAACCAAGACCCAGAGCCCCAGGCCTCCACCCCTAGGCACAGGCCGGGATGCCGGGGCCTCATGCCCCGATTCAACCACAGTGGGAAACGCCAAGGGCCCTGCACGGCCCCACATCCCCACTCAGACCGCCGGACACCCTCAGAGCTCTGGACAGCCTCCCGGCAGGGGCCTCGGAACCAGGACATCACAGCCGGTCCCCTCCCGACTTTCCCATCCGGAAACACACATAAGAACACTGCATACCCGCAGACGGACACTCTGCCCCGATACGGCCCGTAGAGCCCCATCAGGGCATTTGGACAGTCGTGGACCAACACCCTGGCTCAGATCCCTTCCCCCATCGGACACGCACCCCTTAGCCGGACACCTGGGCCCCCTCACCCCGCCCAGCTACACCCTTCGTATCTGGGCACCCAGATACCTACTGCCCCCACGCCGCATCCGCACGGCCCCGCTCACGGGCTTCGGGACCCTGGCACCTGTTAACCACGCTCCCACGCGCTGGGTCCACCCTCGCACCCACACGCCTGACATCCGCCCACCTGCATCAGGGCATCCTCACACCCGGGCGTCTGCAGGCTCGTGGACACCCGGACTTCCGCCCCCAGACCCCCCCCTGCCCGGGGATGGGGCGTCACTCTCAGCCCTGCCCACAGCCTTGACCGCCCCCACCTGTCGGAACTTGGCTCGAGCTTCCTTCTCCTTCATGCGGCCGTGGGACACGAGGTAGTCAAACACTTCTCCTGCAGGGCAGAGGCCAAGCGGGGTCAGCGAGGGGCGCGGGGGGCGCAGGGGGCAGGGCGGGGAGGGACGCCTCACCGGCACTTGCGTATTCCATCACCAGGTACAGCGTCTTCTCCGTCTCGATCACCTCGAAGAGCTTCACTGCAAGGACCCGGGGGGAGCAGGGTTATTTGGGACAAGAACCCCCCAGCTCCGCCCACACTCTGTAACTACGCATGTGCTGACCAGAACACCCCCTTACTCAAGAACGCTCCATGGCTCCCTACTGATGGCAAGATTTCCCAAACTCCTCAGCCCTACTTCACCACCTTTCCTACTTTCTCTCTCACAAGAAAGTCCGCTCTCTGAGGCCGAGATTTGTGTCTGTTTTCTTTCCTGCTTATGCTAGATAGCAGCCACTCAATAAACATTTCCCGAGTGAACAAACACGTGGATGAATAAATGTTGTGGCCACATCCAGGCCAGGCTAAGTCCTGTCTCCCCTCTGCCTCACAATGACAAGGACAGTGCTCACTGCTGCTGACGGTAATCAGACCAGGTCCCCCAGCTTAGTTGTGAATGGAGTGTTTCGAATGCTCAGTCTTATCCAAACCCCACAATGACCTTGAAGTAGGCCTTCTTATAAACCCCACTCCAGAGGCGGAAACTGAAGCTCAGAGAGGTGAAGTGACTTGCCCAAGGTCACACAGCCAGTGAGCAGCGACACCGCTAAGAGAAAACAGGTCTTTCTAACTGTGAAAACTGCCGATTCTTCTGTCCCCCAACTCTCTTCTCTGCCAAGTGCCCCAGCTGGTAGTCTCTGAGCCCACACTCTTCCCCTCCTCACCGATGTTGGGATGGTTTAGGCCCTTCATGATGCGGACTTCCCGGAACAGCTGGGCATGGCCAGAAAAGAAGAAAGAGAAAGATGAGGGTGGGCGGTTTCGATGACCCTCTTCCCAACCTTGTCCCCACCCCGCTCCCTCTCCCTAGGCCTCACTTTCTGCAGGCTGCTGGGGTTCAGCTGGGTTTTGTCAATGATCTTGATGGCGACCTGGAGGTGGAAGGAAGGGGTAAAAGATCAAGGTGCCAAGGGCTCGAGTTGGGAAAGGCCCTCCCAACCCAGATTGCCCAGGAGTGTTTTTCCTTTGCCCCCTCTCACAGGAAGCCCTCAATCAGGGCCGTTCCTGGTGGATGGGAGATCTGGGCCTCAGGACCTTTGCACAAGCCACTGTGTCCAGTGCTCTCTGACTTCTACAGGGAAATATCCCCTATTCCACAGCAGGGCCTGGGTGGGGCTACTCAGGGGCCTGTGTGAATGCGTGTGAGAGTGAGACCTTTTGAGGGCCCCTCCGTGAGGGCACCTCAGGCCATTCACCCAGCATGTCTTGTTTGTCTTGCATGCATGAACTGTGAAACAATAAATAACTGTAGCTAACATTTCCTGAGGAGTCACCGGGCCTCAGTCTGTGTGCTTTACAAACGAGAACTCTTTCAATCCTTCACAGTATGAGTGTTAGAATTATCCCCATTTTACAAGCTGGGAAACTGAGGCACAGAACTGCTCAGGCAGTTGGCCAAGGTAACATGGCTAGTAAGTTTGTGGGCTGGGGTTTGAACTCATGCAGCCTGATCAAGTTTACCTCTTAAACATCTAAAACTGAAGAAAATACGTATAGTTTATTTATTTTTAAAATTTTTTAAAGTAATCTCTATACCCAACGTGGGGCTCGAACTCACGACCCTAAGATCAAGAGCTGCATGCTCTTCCAAGTGAGCCAGCCAGGGACCCCTAGTTTTAAAAGAGCCTTGAGCAGTGACCATGGGGGAAGAATCGGAAAGTTAATGAACGCTCCTTATATGCATCCTGCAGTGGGGTTAAGTTTTTATTTTGAATTGCACTTTGGGGCAGAGCCCCATAACTTTTTCAGTAGTGAGGGACCTTTAAAAGTCTTATCTCAGCTCTAGGTCTATAGTTTCCCCAAAGGGTTTTGGGGCCACCCCCAGATCCCCTGGATTACAGAATCCTTCCCCTGGGAGGCCCAGTTTCCTCAGAAGCTGATCCTCTAGTAAGCCCCTGGAATCAAGTTCAAAGTCCACACAAGGGGAACGACGTATTCTTTGTGCGGGAGAGGGTCCGTTAACTTTTCTCATATCCTCACGAACGGGTTTTTAATTTTGGCACTTTTCATGCCAGCATTGAGACGATCATATGGTTTCCCTCCTTGAATCTGGGAATGTGGCGAAGTACACGAATAAATTGTCAATTTGAAAAGAACTGTGCATTCCTGGGATGAACCCAGCTCTGTCATCACACGGCTTTCTTTGATGTGACGGGTCTCTTTGCTAATATTCTGTTTGAGATTTTTGGATCTATGTTCACATGTAAGGCCAGCCCATAATGGTATCCGTAGCTCGTTCTGACGTCTTGGTCATCGTGCAGCTGGCACTTCCAATCAGCTGGGCAGTGGAACCTCTTTCGTTAATCTCTGGGGGGATGGGCATAAAATTGGAATGTTTGGTAGAACATGCCCATAAAACCATAGGAGCCTGGTATCTTTTGTGTGCCTGGTGTGGATGGCGTGTGGGCAGGACAGAGTTCATCCCAGGCAGCGGAAATCGCTCCAGCCACATCCTCTAAAATTAAAGGGGAACAGAGGAGCTCCCCCCTCCCCCTGGCGTGAGTGAGAGGCTTCATATCCAGGTTACAAGGTCAGGTCTGTGTGGGCGCAGTAATGCTGCCCTACTCTGGGGGCAAGGAGAATGGGACTGTGGGGAACTGAGAACTCCAGTGAGTTCTCGTGTGGTCTCATGAAGATCGCTGCAAGGTCTGACGGAACCAAAGCCCACCACTGCAACGGGGAAGTGGTCCGGGTTTAGACACAAAAGCCGTGTGAATTCTTAGAAACACAACGCACGGCTCTCCCCGCGATCTGAGAGTTCCCAACAATTCCAGGGACGATGACCGATATTTAATGACCACTGGCCATTAATGCGCCATCATCCCTGTTTTAAGGTGGGAAAACTGAGGCCCAGAGGTGAACACGGTTTATTCTAGAGCTGCTGTCCTCCCATCACCTCATACTCCCACATCATTTTTTTTTTTTTTAAGCTCTAGGCCCAACGTGGGGCTTGAACTCATGACTCAGAGATCAAGAGGCACGTGTTCTAGGGCGCCTGGGTGGCTCAGTCATTAAGCAGCTGCCTTCGGCTCAGGTCATGATCCCAGGGTCCTGGGA